GCGGTGCCGGGGGGCCCGGGGGGTGCCCGCCATGACTGTGTGTCTAGGAGCGAAGTGTGACCAGCTCCCGCTGCTCACCCTGCAGCAGCCCTGCTGGCCACCATCCTGGCCTCCCTGGCCAGTTCTGAGGGGCTCAGCCACGTCCTGGGTCCTCAGTGACCCATGCCCCAGGAACCTGGGTCCTGAGCTGTGCTGCCCCTGCCCTGCTGCCCCCGAGGCCCAAGTGGGCCCACCCTCCCCAGCCCCTGCCTGTTGCCACACCTGCTTGTTGGCTACCCCAGTACCAGCCCACTGGACCCTGCGGGGTGGGGCAGACGCCACTTCTGCTGGGCTGAGCCCTCGCCTAGTTTTCTGGGCTGGAGCTCAGACCTCCAGACCCCTTCGAGGACTTGAGTGAAGATTTCCATCGTGGGGACCAGCAATTAGCGTAATGGCTATGTCACTGAACTCCCATGTAGTCGACTGCGGTTCAAGTCCTGGACCCGGTGACTTAAAACTCACACCGGGTGCCAGTGTGTGCGTGCCCAAGATCCTGAGAGAATGGAGGAGAAGGGATTGTGGCGTGGTCATCCTCCCTGGGGGGTGATTTCTCGCTTTTTGTCTCTGTCTTTCTGGCGAGCGCTCGCACCATGTAGCAAAAACCTCTCCAAAAAAAAAAAAAATATTTTTTCATTGCAATGTCCGTGGCCCCCCACAGACACCCGAAGTGTACGTCAGGCCTGCGTCCCAGGTACACCCTGGCTGGGCAGAGCTGAGCGGTGACGAGTGCTCACCTGCTCTCCCTGCCAGGCAGACTCACCAGAGAGCCCCGTCCCCTTCCGGCCGACGCCCGTGCCTGGCCTGTGCTGGGCTCAGGAGTGAGCAGAGCACCGCGGGCAGTATGGGACGCTGTGCGTGGCATGGGCCCTGACGTGTGCTAACAGCACTTCACCATCCCTGCCGTGTGCCTGGCACCATGCTGAGCACAGCTGCTCAGCTGCCAGCCACTTCTGTCCGGGCCTTCTGCCCTGGCCTCCCTCCGCCAGGACCCCTGCCCCACTCCCGTGTCCTTCACCACATAAGCAGGTGGTTGAAGCGACTCAGAGCAGGCAACGCTCAGGTCTGGGCTTGCGCCCCAGGGCAGTGGGGGTGCGTGGCTGGCTCCCTGTGCCCCTGCCAAGCAGGTGAGTGGGTGTCGCTGCAGAGAAGCCCTCTCATGCGGAGCCTCCGTCGGACTGTGCAGCTGGCCACCCTGTGTCTCTGGGCAGGGCTGTGGGGGACGCACGGACAGGTGCATGGTGGCCTGGTTCCCTCGGGCACTGTTGCCAGCAGCAGAGTCCTGGCCACGCGAGGCCTACACTGGGCCCAGGCCACGTCGGGACGCAGCCTCCCTGCATTTTCCCCAGCTCAGCGTGAGTCCCGGGCATGGCTGCCTCCACCGGGACAGTGCTAAGCCGGCCTCTGGAGCCCCAGCCCACCCTCTCGGCATCCCTGCCACACACCTGTGTTCTCAGCTTCCCCTCCGGCAGCTGCCGGTGGACCCTCCAGGAAATGGGTGGGACCTTGTAGGGCCCAGAGCGGAGCTGGAGCCCGGTGTCTGTAGGCAAGTGGGAGCAGACAGAGCCGATGGGAATTCCCTCCAGCGCCTCTGGCTGGCAGGTGAGGCTCTTCGTGGCATTAAGGGTGTGGTCTCACTGTCAGTGGCTCACACGGCCTAGAAATGGCCTCCGTGGCTGCCCTGATGGTGAGTGGTGAGCTGCTCATCAGTTTGCAGTCAGACTACCTGCACGGCCTTCAGACCACCCGCGCACCCTTCAGACCACCCGCGCACCCTTCACGCCCAGCCTCCTTTCCCCTTCAGCACATTTGCACTCACAGACCCCTGGGGCCAGAGCCTGAGTAGAGACTTTATTTTTGTTTTTAAAATAATCTTTATTTTATTTATTCATTCATTTATTTTAATTTGATGAGAGAGAGAGGGGAAAGTGAGAAAGTAAGCCACTAGGTCTGGGATTTGAACCATGATTGACCACGTGGGAGTGTGTCTAGCGCCTTAACCACCACACCACCTGCTGGTCCGAGAGATTTTTGCTAGAGGGCATGTTTGCTCACCAGAGAGAAAGTGAAATCATCCTTGGGGCTGGCTGTCCGCAGTCCCTCCTCCATTTTCTTCCTGGGATTTGTTTGCACACGTGCCCAGCATGGTTTTTAAGCCGCTGGATGGACCTGGTCCTCGGACTGGCATCGGCCTTGTGGGATCCTGCTCCTGTGACCACCATGCCTGCTGCAGGCTGGCGTTGTGTCCCGCCCGCCGGCCCCACGTCCCTAGCGGCCACGGGATGCCACTCGGGCCATTTGTCGAGCGACTTCTTCCACCAGCGCTGGCGCCTCCCGGTTGTTGCTCCCTGTAAACCCACCTGGCCCCAACCAGGGTGCAGCGTGGCCACAGCCGCCCCCTCGTGCCTGGAGGGCCCAGCTTGTGTGCTGAGCTGGTCACACCTGGCACTGCCATGACCAGCCTCCGCCACATCACCAAACCGACCGGCCCCTGCAGTTCCCCTGGCCCCTGCTGGCCTTGCGGCATTCGAGCAGGGCACCTGGCGGTGCCAATGAGACCCGCTTCCTTAAGTTCGATCACTTCCTCTGGAGGAACAGCAGAGGCAGAGGGGCCCTGGGACGCGTGTGCCTGCTGTGCCTGGTGGTCTGTGGGCACGGCTGGAGGCCGCCCGTGTGGGCCAGTGTCCCGAGTGCCCGCTTTCCCTCCGCACCGTCCTACACCATGCTTGTGCAACCGGTTGTGCGCAGGCACTGCTCATGCACGCACACTCACACACGCACTCACCTGCTCTCACACTCGTACCACGCACTTCCACGTGCACACCCTCGCCCTTGTACGCACGCACACCTGCCTCACTTGCACATGCACTCACTGCTATTCACACTCGTACCGTGCACTGTCACGCACACTTGCACGTGCTCACACTCCTTACATGTACACCCGCACTTTCACCTGCACACACTCTGTACACTCATCTGCCCATCACACTCACACACTCACACTTGCTCACACGCACGTGGACCGCACTGCCCTCACCCAGCCTCTGATGCCCGCCGTGCGCATCCTGCCCCTGGAGAGCTTGCAGGGCAGACGTCAGCCTCTTCCGGCAGTTTTCATTTGACGACGTCAAAGAACTCGGATTGTTTTAGCCCAGAAACAGCGTGCTTGTGCGGCACCTGTCTGCAGGTGTGAGGCGGGGGCGGCTCTGCTGAGGGTGTGTGGCTCTCGCCAGGTTTGCTGACCGCAGGCTCTCTGGGTGCGCTGTGCCTGGGGCTG